GGGTTTGAACCACCAGCCTTCTGGTTAGCAGTCAAGTGCCAAAGTCCTTTGTTAGTGTTCCTTAAATCTTTCTGCTGCAGAGGGACTTTTTCCCTTAGGGATAACACAGCTGACCACAACTGATAACCTTTGCCCCTCCCCTCAGGAATCCCACTCCCTCTGGTAGCATAGTGCCTAAGGCACACTGCTAACCAGAAGGTTGCGGTTCAAACCCACCAGCCACTCCTCGGAAGGAAGGTTGGGCGATCCTACTTCCGTAGTGATACTGCCTCGGAAACCCAAGGAGGGGTGGCTATGAGTCGGGGCCGACTCGACGGCACATAACAACAACTGGAAAGTCCTTTCATGAGTCTAGCCTTAGTGGTATTGCTGCAAGGAGCATTTGTGCTAAGCCCCAGTAGGTCCCTTTACCCCAGGGAACCCCATTCTCCAGCCCTTGCTCCATTCCAACCCAGAAGGCCCCAGTGTCTGCCCACGGCACCCCACTCATCCCTATGAAAATGTCCGGGAGTCCCCTGGATTCTTCTCGCCGCCGCTGCAGGAAAAGACCGTTTCTTTTTTTAAATCAGGTGTGAAAAAAATGGAGGTGAAACCCTTTGAGAGGAGTACCACTGACTGAGGGAGCTCTGGTAGCATAGTGGCTACGGCACTTGACTGCTAACCACAAGGCTGGCGGTTCAAGTCCATCAGCCACTCCTCAGAAGGAAGATGGGGCAATCTACTTCCATAGTGATACTGCCTCGGAAACCCAAGGACGGGTCGCTATGAGTCGGGTCTGACTCGACGGCAAACAACAACCACCACCACCACTGACTGAGGGTGGGAGTGGGAACTGAAATCACCCCCACACTTCAAAGACACTAGGACTTAACTTTGGAAAACCGAAGCCCAGAGCCAGGCCGAGTTTCCCATGGCTTTGGTGGAGGCCAGAGGTGGCCACAGCCTCAGGCTGACGGTTGACCCTCAGACAAAAGAGGTTTGTCTGGGCAGCCGGAAAGGAGGGAGGGGCTGGGGGAGGGGCTAGGAGACAGGCGTCCAGCCTTGCCTATTTAGGGCAGAAAGACAGGCCGGTTCCCCTGAAGCCCCGCCCAGCTTCCAGGCCCCAGCTCTCCCCCGGCTCTCCTGACCCACCCCCAGCCCGCCCAGCACTGAAGCCCCGCGTTAGGGCCTGTTTATAGAAGGAAGGTCAACAAAGCATTCCATTTTGGGCTCCTGGCCTGGTGTGCAGAGATGCCCATAGTGGTGTCTGTGAGCAGAACCCAGGAAAGCAGGTCCTGGGCAGCATCAGAGAGTGGCTAAAAAGCCCGTGGGCTACTCACACACCCCGTGTCACGTGCTCCCACCAATCGTCCCCTTGGTCACTCCACTGAGGCCACTCCGGCCTCCTTGCAGCTCCTACCCCAGGGCCTTTGTCCGTGCTGCTTTTCCGGTAGGACAACTCTCCCTGTCGCGTTCCACTGGCGGACTCTTGCTGCATTTAGGGCTTTGCTTACACGGTTCCTTTTCTGACCAAACCCAAACCTGTCGCTGTGGAGTCAATTCCGGCTCATGGCGACCCTGTGTGTTACAGAGAATCGCCCCATAGGGTTTTCTTGGCAGCCGCTCTGGAGAAAGAGCTGGCTATCTGCTTCTGTAAAGATTATAGCCAAGAAAACCCTATGGGGCACTTCTACTGTCACAAAGGTCGCTATGAGTCAGGATTGACTCTGCAGCAACGGAATAACAACAAATCTTAACGAACGCATCGCCAGGCTTTTCTTCCGCAGCACCACTGGGGGAGTTCAGCCTGCCAACCGTTAGTTTGACAGTCAAGTGCAAACCGTCCGCTGTACCCTGGCACCTCCTTCTCTGAGCACTCTGTCTAAAATAGCTCCTTGTGCTTTGTATGTATCATTAATGACTTCCTGGGTTAACAACAAAAAAACACAACCCACTGCCCTGGAGTCGATTCCGGCTTACAGCGCCCCTAGAGGGCAGAGTAGAACTGCCCCATAAGGCTTCCAAGGCTGGAAATCTTTATGAGGGCTGTTGGCCTCATCTTTCTCCAACAGAGAGGGTGGTGGTTTTGAATCACCAATCTCTTGGTTAGCAGCTGAATGCCTCAACCACTGTGCCACCAGAGCTCCTTTCTGACTAAACATTATATATCAATCTGTCATTTGTTTATTGTCTCTGTCACTGGAACATCAGCTCCAAAGGAGCAGAGATTTTTGTCTGTTTTGTTCACTGCTGTGTCCCAAGTACCCGGAACAATGCCTGGCACAAAGTACGCACTTGGTAAATACCCAATGAAAGAATTAATGTCCACAATGGAATACTATGCAGCTATTAAAAAGGAAGCCATTTCAATATGGAATAATCGTCAAGATCCAATGTCAAATGCAAAAGAAAAGTGCAGAATATATAGTAGTATACATGTTCAAATCACCTGGAGCCTTGTGAAAACCCAGATTTCTGGGACTGACTTCTGCTTTCTGATTGGGTTTGGAGGGGTGCCCAAAAATGTGCGTTTTGAACAAGTTCCCATGAGATCTGATGCAGCTGGCCCAGGGGCCACGCTTTGAGAAACACTGGCATAGTTTCTGGGACCTCACCCAAGAAGCTGGAATTTGTACAAAAGTAAAGCAGAGCCCTATAGGTCTTGGTATGTAAACCGTTTCTGTGAGTCAAGGCACTGGGAGAGGTCTGGAAGGACTCACAGGTGACACGGTGTTGTCCTCAACAGAGGGATGGATTTAGGAGGTCAAGGGGGGAGGACGGGGGAGGGAAGTGTTTAAGGAGGCTTGACTCAGACCCAGATTGTTGTGTGCCATTGAGTCGATTTTGACTCCTAGCGATTCATGGAAGAGTAGACCTTCCCCCATAGTGTCTCCTATGTGGTAATCTTCACAGGAGCAAATCGCCAGGTCTGTTCTGCAGAGCTGCTGGGTAGGTTCAAATTGCTGGGCAGATTCAAACCGAGCGCTTTAACCAGCTAGGGTCCAAATCCCAGCTCTGCCTCATCCCAGCTGTGTGACCTTGGACAGGTTACTTCACCTCTCTGGCCCTCAGTTTCCTCATCTGTAACATGGACATCATACAATGCCTTCTCTTACAGAGTTATTGTGCACATTCAACGAGTTTTTTAAAAAACGTTCCTTTAAAGCACTTAATAAATGCTAACATTTCTTATTACACAACAGCTCTGAATTTTTTACAAGCAAAATGTAAAATTGTATTTTTACTTTGTAATTAAAAATAAATGTATAAAATGATTTTTTTTTGCAGGGGGGTGGGTAAAGTCTGCAGGTCTAATTTTAGTTCTCCCACTGCAGGGAAGAGTGGGAATTAGGGGGACAGACAGGCAGAGGCCTCTCCTCCTCCCCAACCAGGACCCCTTCCCTCCCAGCTACCTCAGTCTACTTCCATCAACTGCCCTCCCCCTACTTGCAAGTCTAACCTCACATGTTCCAGCTGCAAAGGGATGAATCTTTAACATAAAGGACCAGAAGGCTCTTGGCCTGTACCTGGTCCCCTGCCAGCGCACATGTCCTTCAAGTTATTTCTGCAAATCGATCTGCAAGTGGCCTCAGGGTATTCTGCTCAAACGGGTGTAATAAGAGTGTGGTCAGGAAGCCCCTGGGCCTCAACTTTCCCGGACCTTGGCTGCTCTCAGCTCACATGTCCTAGTCTGTATCCAATGCTCTTCATCTCTGTTAGGAAGTCCTTCTGCAAGTCTAACTTAAGTCCTTGCTGAAACCCCCAACCTTGGGCCAGGTTTCCTCAAACTAGAAACTCTGGCCACACAGAAACTTTCCTTCTTGGAAGAGAACAGGACCCGGGACTCCCCCCACACACACCCGCTCCCCAAGTCCAGAGTTCTTGCCTCCATTCTCCAAGCTATTCCTAGTGTTTACATGGCCTCCCCATCATTTCCATTCGAAAGTGACTTAAGTTCTTCCTGCTGCAGAGAGAGTGTATTGGGGGAGGGGGGTGCGTTTAGCTTCTTAAGACAAAGGTTCAGGCATCAGAAGAGGCTCCTACCCCCCCCCCCACAAGAGGACTTAGGAACCCCCAACATCGGAGAAGTTTATATTTAGCGCGGCTCTGATCTTCAGTTAGTGTGGCTGTCTCCCTCCGCCCTCCCGCCCGCCACCGCCTCCTCCCTGATGCCAGGACCAGCTTTGCCTGGAGACTGCAAAGGGGAGAGGCCTCCCCACTACCACCTCAAGTCAGCCCGGGAGGCAAGGGATGGGGGGGGGGTCTGAGGAGCAGAGAGTGAAGGAGACTGAGGGGCACAGAGAGGGGGAGACCAAGAGGCAGAGAGAGAGGAGACGAGGTACAGAGGGAGGCAAGACACTGTTGCCCATCCCCTCTCCCTCTCCTCTTAGGGGTGGGAGGCACCTTCCGGAGTCCAGCCAACTTGTGGGTGTGTGTGTGTGTGTGGGGGGGAGCTGGTGAAGGCCCCCACAATCCAGTCTCCAACTTCAGGAGGGGGTGGGGCCTCCCACAGCTGTTTCTGTTTCCCCAGAAGAATGTGCAGGGTCCTGCTCCCAGCCGGGGGAGGGGCTGAGCAGCGTGCAGCCGCGGAGTGGGCCTGCAGCCCCCCTCCCCGTTCCTTATCTGGGGAGGGGGCAGCCGAGGTCAGCCGCAGGGAGAGCCCTCCCCCCCCCCAACCCCAAGCTCGGCTCAGGTTTCCCCAAACGGGAAACTCTGGCCACACACAAGCTTTAGGGATGGGGTCACCCAGTGGAGTCAGGGGCTGGGGGCTGGGGGGAGGCGGGGGGCGGGAGAGGAGCAGCTGGGGGAGGGGCAGAGAAAGATAGAGACCAAGACGTGGGCAGGAAAAGAAAGAGGTGCAAAGATGCAGGAAGGGAAGACCTGGGAAACAGTTAAGAGAGACAGGGTTAAGAAAGAGGCAGACACGAAGTCACGGTGATGTGGGGTTAGGGAGAGGCTTAAGAGGACCCAGGAAGAGGTCTGGAGAATGAAGAGATGGGCTCATGCCTCCTTACATCCAGTGACTCTGCCTCAACTCCCACCATTAGAAAGCCCCGAAGTCCAGAAGTCAGAGCTCATGCTAGCACCCCCCTGGGATTGCGGAGGACGAATGGAAGGGAAATGTCACCCAAGGGGCAAGGTCCCCGTGCGGTCCTCAGAGAGGCTCAGCCGTGGCCATCTGCCCCCCACTGTCCCCTCCCGAGGCCTCCAAGCACAGCAGGATTTAGAGAAGATGGAGCCCTGGTAGCCAGGAGGGAGGGTGGCAAGTTTGGGTCACGGCTGTGTGACCTTGGGTGAGTCGCTTGCCCTCACTGAACCTCAGTTTCTTTCTCCATAAGATGGGGACCATCACCCCCATCTCCCAAGCTCCACGCATGCAAAGTAGCCGGCGCCCGGCTTGACACATCCTTGGTGCCTGGAAAGATCTTTTCTTTGGTGGAGGGGGTAGGGGACCGAGCCAAGCATCTCACAGGGCCCCAGTGGAGGCGATGCAAACCCCACTACCACCTCCCGGCCGGGTTTGGAGGAGGGGAGGCCAGATCTCGCCCGCCGCCTGGGCTCCTGGTCCCCACCCCCTTTCTCCCCCACCCCCACCCCACGATCGGGACCGGTGTCTGAGTATCCAACCAGGACAGATAGACGGGGGAGGGGCGGGGACGGACGGACGGACAGGCGGCCCCTCACCAGCTGCTCCTCCAGGGCCGCCGCGGCCCGGCGCGCCGCCGCCGCATCTTCGTCTTCCTCGGCGTCCTCCTCGTCCTCGGCCTCGGCGCCCCCCATTCCGGGCTGGGCCAGCCGCAGCGCCTGCTGCACGCGGTATTCCTGCCTCTCCCGAAGCCAGTGCAACTCGCAGAGCCCGGCCAGGCTGCCCTCCAGCCAGCCCCGCAGCCGGCCCCGCTCGGGGCTCACTGGGAACGAGAAGGCCCCGATCATGGCTGCGGCCCCCCGCCCCAGCCTGGCCGGGCCCCGCGGCCACCCTTCTCCCGGTCCCACCTCCCCGCCCCAGCAACCCGCCTGCCCGCCCGCCCGCCCGCTGGCCCGGCTGTCACCGTCTCATCTGCATAGGCGCCCGCCCATTGGGCCGCCCACCCGGGCTTCATCTACATGACCACGCCCCCAGTAACAGAGCAACCTCCGCCTATTGGCCGGTCTCCGCCCTTGCAAAGACGCTGGACCGTGCGGCCGCGCCCCCAGCAAGACGCATGCTCACAGCTGCCTACTCGCCCAGCTTTCCAATGACCTCGCCACGCCCCCCCTCACGCCTACCTTTGGGTCCTGGCCACACCCCCCCTGCATCACTATAAAATACGTCAACCCTTGCTTCACTGTCATTGGTCCGTGCCTCCCCAGCCCCCACGGCTGGTTCCGCCCCCTTGCGGGCGAGCTCGGGCTACCATTGGACTGTTTAGGGAGAGGAGGGGGGTGATCTATAAATAGAGAGGGGTTCCACGTGACAGCTTGGCTGTTGCTCCACCCTCCTTCCCAGCCCTCTCCTCTGAGACTGCGCGGGGGACCGAAAGGGTTAGGGGGATGATCCCTGATTTCGCCTCTTCCTCCACGAAGCCTTCCCAGAACCTCAGCTATAAAAAGAGAGGCCGAGCTAGCTAAGACCAACATTCTTCTATAAAAATGCTTCGAAGCAGGGCAGGCTTCACGGTCGTGCGAACTGTGCCCTGCGCTTGGAAGAGCCCTATGCTTGGTTTAATACTCCGCGGTCTCTTGAAATTCTTATTTTTTGAACAAGGGGTCTTAGGCTTCGTAAATTACGCAGCCGGTGTTGTTTCTAAGAATGTAAGACTGATGTATCCCAGATTCTGGAATTATAAGAGCCCGGGTGGAAGCGTCTGTGATCCGACCAGAATAGAATCTAAGCATCTTTTGTACCCTAGGTGCTGTGGCGTTCTGAGTTCACTGTTCTGCGATCGCAGGGGCCTTTGTGCTATGTTCTGAGCGCCTTTGTTCTCAGGCTTCTAAGATGCTCTGTTCTTAACGCTCCGTGATCTGGAGTCGCTGTCTGACAGCCATTTCCAAGGTTCCCTCCTCCCTCCCTCGGGCTCCGTGAACGGGCTAGTGCCCCCTCAAGCGGCCAGCCTGTGTCACTACGCCGAGTGCACCTCTGTACAATCTTCGAGACCTAATGCCCGTATTCATACCCATTTCTCAGACAGACCTGATTCCTTCAAGGCCAAAGACCCAGAAGATCATGGGAGAATTTCCCTCTTTTGTGATGCCCCGTGCTCAAGGCGACCTTCTGGTCAACAGCAATTGTAGTGGTTAAGAGCAAGGACTTGGGAGTCAGACAGCCTGTGGGTGAATTCCAGCTCTGCCACTTACTGGCTGTGTGGCCTGGGGGAAATAGCTTAGCCTCTCTGTGCCTCAGTTCCTCATCTGTATAATAAGAGTCATGATACATAAGATTGTTAAGAGGGTTAAATGACACATTTGTCAAGGGCATGGAGCAATGCCCGCCACATCTGAAGAGCTACAAAAGGATTTGATAAATAAATAAAAAGTAATTGTTGTTATGTGCCGTTGAATCGGACTCAACTCATAGTGACCCCTCCTTGGGTTTCCAAGGCAGTATCACTACGGAAGTAGATTGTCCCATCTTCCTTCAGAGGAGTGGCTGGTGGGTTTGAACCGCCCGCCTTCTGGTTAGCAGTCAAATGCCTTAGGCACTATGCTACCAGAGCTCCCAGGAAAAAAAAAAAAAAAAGTAATTAGTGAATTCCAAAGAGAAAAACGAATTTGGACATTAGTAGAGATTAGGTTTATTCAGTCCTCTGTCTCGTTTTAGTCAAACTTAATCTTTCCTTGAACAACTTTGTCCAACAATGGGGAGAATATCGGGGGACTGGTAGAGGTCTGGGGACCTCTGGACAAGATTTTCAGAGTGATCAGTGTCTGGGGTGAGGTCAGACACTCCTGCTGTCTGTTGTGCCAGACCAGTTGAGCCATGTTGAGTCTGGTACTGACTAGGGTTCTGGTCACCAGGCAGTTGAAAAGGGAAGAGAAGAAAGAAGATTGAAGTTTAAATATACCATAATACCACTGCCACCAAGTCACTCTGACTCATGGTGACTGTATGTGTCAGAGTAGAGCAGTGCTCCATGGAGTTTACAATGGCTGGTTTTTTGGAAGTAGATTGCCAGGGCTTTCTTCCAAAGCACCCCCGGCTGGACTCAGCCTCCAACCTTTTGGGTGGCTGCTGAATATATTAACACCGCCCCCCAGGACTCCCAAGAGTCAGAATCAGCCCAAAGGCAATGGCTTATGTAATCACAAGGGTCCATATATAAGAGAGGTGGGAGGGTCAGAGCCAGAGATGTGAGGACAGAAACAGGTTGGAGTGATGAACTTTGAAGATGGAGGAAGGGACCACGAGCCAAGTAATGCTGGCCTCTAGAAACATTTGCCTCTGGAACCTCCAGAATGGACACAACCCTCCCTCCATCTTGATTTTTTAACCCTGTAAGACCCATTTCAGACGTCTGAACCTCCATGACTGTGAGACAGAGTCATGTAAGCTCTAGTGGGGCGGAGTCAAATGTTTGGCCTCCCTTGGCTTCAAAGACCAAAACCCAATTCACTGCCATAGAGTTGATTCTGACTCATAGTGACTCCCATTGGGTTTTCAAGGTGGTAAATCTTTGCAGGGAGTAGATTGCCCCATCTTCCTTCTGCAGAGCAGCTGGTGTGTTTGAACTGCCCACCTTCTGGTTAGCAGTCACATGCCTTAGGCACTGCGCCACCAGAGCTCGGTCCCTTGGCTTCAGGAAGGGGCTTAAATCCTAGGTCCTGTTGGAAGTCACTGGGGACACACTCTGCTTGGAAATCTGGACGTGTGAGCTGAGAGCTTCCACACATGCATCCAGTTCTATCCTGGGTCTTTGATTAGAGACAGATTTTTTATCCCCCCTGTTGTGCACACAGCTGGATCTTAGACCAATCAGTTGCCAAGGGAAAGATGGAGTTCAAGGGCCATGCCCTCATAGTATTCGCTCAAGCATATGCCTCAGAGGTGGTCTGGATCCTTGGGAGGCCCATTTGAGTTAAAAAGAAAGAAAGAAAGAAAGAAAAGCCCGGAGCTCCTTGTGTTACAAAGTAGTACTACTGCCCCACAGGGTTTTCTTGGCTGTAACAGAAGCAGACACCAGCTTTTCTTTCACTGTATTGCTGGGTAAGTTCCAACAGCTGACTTGTAGATTATTGTCGAGCGCAAACCGTTTGCGCCACATAGGGACCTGAGGCCCATGCATTTTTTTTTTTTTTTTTCAAATAAAAGAGTTGCATCTCCAGAACTAACTACCAGATGGACAAACTGATATAACCAGGAATCCCAGTCTTGGCCAGTCAGTATTCAAAGTTGAGTTTCTTCCCGTTTCTGCGGGGCCCAGGAAGGCAGGCTTTTCACTACTGTGTGTAAGGCTGAGTGTGACTGAGGCTTAAAGAAAACGTGTGGGGGCTTGTCCGGATCATTCACCCGTGGCTGCGGGTGGCAGACGGCTGAGTCCAGGTGCTGGGGATCAAGGGTCAAAGGTGGGGAGCGGTGGAAACACAGAGGCGGCAGAGGTGAAAAGGAGGATGGTGGAGGGGACGAAAAAAGGTTTCGGTGGTTTAAGGAGATGGGGCGGGGGATGGGGATGGGGAGGAAGAGCTAATCCCAGGCAAACAGTTCAGCGACTGCAGGGCGTGGAGAGGTAAGAGGTATTTTGTTTTACAGCTTTCCGTGGCACAGTGCCTAAGGCATTTGACTGCTAACCAGAAGGTTGGCAGTTTAAACCCACCCGCCACTCCACGGAAGACCGGATGATCTTGGAAATCCAGTGTGTCGGAATCAACTTGATGAAAGTGGGTTTGCTTTGGTCTCATATTACGTAAAGAAAACGGATTTGCTTAAAGAAAACTGACAATGAGACCCTGGGACTCTTGAGGTCACAGAGCTTCCCGAAGGCGAACCTTAGAAAGGTCCCAAATTCCCCAAATGGTCCTTAAGTGAAATCGTGCCATTTCTGGAGGAATAGGGAGTTCTGGGGGCTAACCAAAGGGTCCATGGTTTGAACCCACCAGCAGCTCTGTGGGAGAGAGATGAGGCAGTCGGCTTCCACGAAGATGACAGCTTTGGAAACCCTGTGGTGCAGTTCCACTCTGTCCTCTAGGGGCGCTGTGAGTCAGAATCGACTCCATGGCAGTGGGTGTGGTTTGGGCTTTGCTTCCGTAAAGATTGACAGCTTAGGAAACCCTGTGATGCAGTTCCACTCTGTCCTCTAGGGGCGCTATGAGAAGGAATTGACTGGATGGCAGTGGGTTTTTGGAGGGCTCGTACTCAGTCCCGGGCCGGTGAGCCCTATGAGACCAATGGATGCACAAGTGAATGAACACACTCACTGTGTGACATCATCACAGTAATTAAGATGAAAATACTAAATACTACCTATCACGTTTCTACTATGGACCAAACAGAGAAACAAGCCCATTGCTGTCAATTCTGACTCATGGCCACCCTGACGTGTTATGGAATAGAACTGAGCTCCCTCGGATTCAAACAAAAACCCCAACACCATGGAGTTGATTCCAACTTGTAGCGACCCCATTGGATTTCTGAGGAGTTAAATCCTTACAGAAGTAGATTGCCCTGTCTTCCTTATGTGGAGTGGCTGGTAGGTTTGAACCTCCAACCTGCTCGTTAGCAGGCAGATGCCTTGGGCACTAAGCCACCAGAGCTCCCTCCCTAGGGTGAGGATGGCTGTCATCTTTACAGAAGCAGATTGCCAGGCCTTTTTTCTGTGATATCACCAGGTAGGTTTGAACCGCCAACCTCTCAGTTAGTAGCCCCGTGCAAGAATTGTTTGTGCCACCCAGGCCAACTGCATTGTTATAATAGTTATGATTAGTAACACCAACAAATTAAAAAAAAAAAAAAAAAAATTAATCTCAGCAAGCTATGAGATTACTTGGTTTTCTCCAAATCCTCCTCCCTCTCTGGTCATCATTTCTCCATTTCCTCCCTTTCTAATTCCTCTTGTCTCCTTACACCACCTCCATACTTTCATCTTGTCTAGTGTTCCCTTATGAGCCCTGGTGATGCAGAGGTTAAACGCCAGGATGCTTAATGCAAGGCCAGCAGTTTGAACCCACCAGCCACTGTGAAGAAGAACGATTCCATAAAAAATCCTGTCTTGGAAGCCCCACGGGGCAGTTCTACTAGGGTCCCTCTGAGTTAGAATCAACTTGACAGCAGTGGGTTTGTTTTCTGGTTAGTGTTCCCTTCCTCAAGGAGACAGACTGACAACAGTGGCTGCAACAATGGGTTCAAACATAGCAAGGCTACTATGAGTGGGAACCGACTCAGTGACACCTACCCCCCTCCCCATGGCAGTCCTCCCTGCTCACCTCTGCCTCCAGGCAGCTCTCCCTAACTCTTCACCCCACCCTGTTAACTCCCCCAGTTAGGCCTCCTTCCAAAATTCCTCTTCCTTCAATCCTCCTCCCCCTACTTCCCACCCTCCCTTCTTTCCAGGTGAGCTCCGTCTTGGGGAAGGAACAGACTGATTCAAAGAGTATTGCGGGGGCACTGGCCAAAGCCACCCGGTGAAAGATGAGTCCGTTTTAATTACAGGGAGGGGCCTTTGGAAATGTCCCCGTAAGCCTCCTCCCCATGCCTCCACCTCCCCTCACCCCTAGAGCGTGTCCCTTCCAGTTGGGATAGGAAGCCTCTTCCCCTAGAATCCAGGTGCAAAGCAAATCCCTGAAGGTGGGAGGGCAGCGGTGGAGGGGCATCCAGGGTGGGAGCACAAGCCCTCAGAGGACGCTGACGCGCTCGGCTAGTCCCTGCATCTCGTAGTCTTGCGGAGAGAGGATGCCACCAAGCTCCGCATCTGCAGGGAGGCCAGACCCACGCTGTGAGCGCTCGATGATGAACTGCTCCCAGCGGGCGTCGTCGCTCTCGTGCGTGATGTACCGCTCGCCCATCTTCCCCTCCAGCTCTCGGAGATCCAGCCAAGTCTGATACTCCTGTGCCCGGAACAACAAGCATTAGTGTGGGGGCAGCAGGAACGACCCTGCCCTGCCAGTGTGTGCATTCAATTGGCAGCTGGTACTCAGGAAGATGAAGCCACACCCTTCCCAAGCCACCCAGCCAAGAGAATTAGCCCCACCCCCCCACAGCCCAACCAATGGGACACTCGCCTGCTCGGCCAATCAGATCTAGCCCTATCCCTTTTGCTAATCCAGCCAATGGGCAGCCCGGCCCCTTGCATCACCTGTAACCAAGGGTGACTGAGAGACTTGTCCACGCTATAACGCTTGCGCATCTTCACCTGCAGCAGGTTGTTGATGAGGTCGATGGCTGCAGCAGAGACATAGCTTAATTCCTGAAGTGTGAGGGGATGCCCCTCCTCCGCCCAGCCCACCTGCCAGCCATCAAAGCCTTCTGTATAGTTCCAGAAGGCTGGGAAGCCTCACCCCCACCAGTCATCACTCACTCACCTCCCTCATCCAATCACAAACCTGTTTCTTGTCCTCAAGCTCATACAGGCACTAGCTCCTAACACCTCTTCACCAATTCTCTGCCTCGAGTTACCCCGTTCCTATGTTACTGTTGAGCTGGATTCTGTTCCCCAAAAATGTGTTCTAAATCCTAGTCCCTGTGCCCCTGGTTAGAATCCCATTTGGGAATAGGTTGTCTGTTATGTTAATGACAGTGTGTTTGAGTCCATCTCTTTTGAGATACAAAAGAGATTAAACAAGCATTTAGAGAAGCAGAGATGGGAGGAGAGAGATCCCAGCGACATGAACATTGCCCGGGAGGAGAAGTTCAAAAGAGGCAAGACCTTCATCCACAGCCTACAGAGAGAGTACGAGTGAGCCTACCCCTAGAGCTGGCACCCAGAATTTGGACTTCTAGCCTCCTAAACCGTGGGACAATCAAATTTCTGTTTGTGAAAGCCACCACTTGTGGTATTTGTTATACCAGCACTAGAGAACTAAACCAGTTATCTTCAGAATTTCTGTCATAAACAGACAACTACCTATACCATTCTTTACTTAATCATCATCATCTTGTTGTTCTCACGTGCAGTGTGATGCCTCGTGTACACAACAGAACTGAGTTCCATAGGGTCTTCAAGGCCGTGACCTATCAAAAGCAGCTCACGGTAGGCCTGTCTTACGAGGTGCCTCTGGTGGGTTCGAACTGTAAACTTTCACATCTTAACAGTCAAGCACGTAACTGTTTGCACCACCCAGGGATACCTAATATTCTTCTTTAATCAAACTAATTTATCCAAGATACAATGTTAAATGGGCAAAGCAAGTTGGAGAACAGCATGCAGTATGTTGTCTTCTGTGTAACAAAAGGAACTAAAAATATAATCACATGCTTGCTTGCAAAGAGTCCCTGGTGGTGCTCAAATGCTACTTGAAAGGCTGGCAGTTGCAACCCACCCAATGATCCGTGGACAAAAGACCTGGTGATCGGCTTCCGAAAAGATGACAACCGAGAAATCCCTATGGAACAGTTCTGCTCTGTAACACATGGCATTGCCGTGAGTCAGTAACAACTTGATGACATTGTTTTGTTGTTGATTTGCCTGCACATATGTAAAATCTCAGGAGAACAGGAAACTCATAATAGCCACAGTCTTTGGGACAAACAGCAAAACAGCAGACAAAGAAGTGAGGCTTTCGCCTCTGGCTGTATTCCTTAACCTTCCACCCTAAGGCTTCAGGACATTACTCTCACAGGCAGGTCTCCTCTCCTCTGCCATCTCCAGAAAGGCCCAAGTGACGTGGCCTAGCGCCACAACTTGATCACGCTTTCGACGCCAAAGCCCCTGGGTGCAGCGACTCAATGCCTGCCTGGCTCCCAGCACCCTTCTTCTAGCACAGCAGTCACACACTCCTTCTTTCCTTCCACCAACTCCCAGGCTGTGACAGCCTCAGGACCCCAGGGCGCCTTCCTTTTAAGCTTCAAGTCCAGCTCCTCCTCTGGCCCTGCCCCTAGATGGGACGTCTTCTTCATGGGCCCCGCCCCTAGATCAGCCCTCTTCATCACTGGCCCTGCCCCTAGACCAGCCCTCTGTCACTGACCCCACCCCTAGACCAGCCCTCTCCACCACTGACACCGCCCCTAGACCAGCCCTCTCCATCTCTGGCCTCATCCAGGGCTCCACAACTTTCAGTGTTCTGGCCAAACCTCCACCCTAGTTACTCATAGCTCCTGCACCCAGCTCATAGCCAAGCCCTTGATCTTCCTACCTTGTCCCTGGCACCTCTGCTTCTGAAGGGCCCGTCCTTTTGTGATCGTGATCATAAATTATCCCAAAGATTCCAGGCCTAACCCTTGTGAGGGTCCACCTTTTCTCCTCCCTATCCCAGACCTTTGTCCTCTTCAGGTCCAGCCCCTCTCCTGGTGCCCCCCGAGTCTCACCAGTCCCTGAGCGCTTCTGTTGTTGTTGTTATTTGCCATCGAGTCGGCCACGACTCATAGCGACCCCTCCTTGGTTCTCTGAGGCAGTATCACTACGGAAGTAGGAATGCCCAACCTTCCTTCCGAGGAGTGGCTTGTGGGTTTGAACCGCCAGCCTTCTGGTTAGCAGTCAAGTGCCTTAGGCACTATGCTACCAGAGCTCCTTCTAGAGCAGTTAGTTTCCAACTCACATAATCTAGTCTCAGCACCAGTCTCTGCACCCCTGGTTTTATACAAGTTCCTAAGCCCTGACCCCAGGTTTCTAGGCCCAGAAAGCTTGTCATGTACAGGACTGCCATCATGGCCCCGCCCTGCTAGGCTCCACCCCCAAGCTTGTCTCTGATAGGCTGTTATAGAGCCCACCCGGTCTGGCCTTGCCTCCCTCTGGGGAGCCATGCCCCCGCCTGGCTAACCTCCCTTGGAGATGTGGCTCCACGGGCTGGGTGGGTACATGAAGGCAGCGTTCTGGATCTGGTCATTGATGTCCTCGTCCTCGTTGAACGGGAACGTGCCGCTGAGGCTGACGTACATGATTACGCCCACCGACCACATGTCCAGCGAGCGGTTGTAGCCCTGGTTGAGCAGCACCTCGGGCGCCAGGTAGGCAGGCGTGCCCACCACCGAGCGCCGGAAGGACTTCTCCCCGATGATGCGCGCGAAGCCGAAGTCGCACAGCTTCACCTGTGGAGGGTGGAGGGAAGCAAGTCTGAGGGGGGCTGTGAGGCCATCTCCGTCACCCCCTCTGCGGCATTCCAGAGAAAAAGCAGAGCTGCCGTTACAAATACTGGTTCGAATCCCGGCTCCTCCACTCGCTAGCTGAGTGACCCTGGGCTAGTGACTTCCCCTCTCTGTGCTGTTTCCTCAGCTATATACAGGAAGAGCAAAACAGCACCTACCTCAAAGGCTGGTCTGAGGACGAAATGAATCAAACCATCAAAAGCTCATTTAAAAAAGAAAAGAAAAAACCTCTGGCATTGAGTCGAATTGACTCATAGTGACCCCTCCTTGGGTTTCTGAGGTGGTATCTCTATGGACGTAGATTGCCCAACCCTCCTTCCCAGGAGTGGCTGATGGGTTTGAACTGCCAGCCTCCTGGTTAGCAGTTAAGTGACTTAGGCACTATGCACCAGAGCTCCTGCTTTGAATCAAAAGCTCATAGGACAAATGAATCTAGCATACAGGGAGCTCTCAGGCAGGGCTACCAGGGCGATACCTCTGCCACCCAAACACTTCCTCTTAACCTCCCTGTGCCTCCGTTTCCTCTTTTGTACAAGAAAGATCCTAACAGGCCAACCTTAAAGGGTGGTTGTATGTCTTGAGAGTAAACGCACGTAGTGTTAGTGCCTGGAACAGTGAGCCTGTAACCTCAGGCGAGGGACCTTCTCCAGCCCCTAGGTAGGGCTGACAGTAAACAATAGGCCTAATAAGTAAGCAAATTACATTGTATTCCATGGTATTGTTGCTGGCTGCCAGCCACTCGTCCGGACTCCTCGCGATGCCAGCCACAAAAAAATGAAACGAAACGCTGCCCAGTCCTGTACCTCCCTCTTGACTGGACCACCCTCCCTCCTGACTGGATCAGACCTCTGGCTGGAAATCATCAGCCCATTTAGAAGTCCATCTCCAGGCTTTTCTTCTTCGTCTGTCTTAGTCTGGAAGCTGAGATGAAACCTGTCCAGCATCCTAGCGACACGCAAACATCCACTCACAGACGAGTGGTTGGTGCGCCACTGGCCAAAAGCAACCCGGTCTCCCGCGTGGAAGCCAAGAACTCTACAACTGAGCCCCTTTATTAATATTTAGGGCCGTAATGCTTCATCGTGGGGGCACTGTCCTGTTCATGGCAGGAAGTCCAGCAGCATCCCTGGCCTCTACCCACTCGATGACACAGCACCCCTCCTCAGTTGTGACAACAAAAATGTCTCTAAAAACTGCCACACATCCCCTAGGAGACAAAACTGCTTTTGTCTGAAAACCATTGCTATATATGAACGCTCTTTAGGCATAAAGATGGAGCATGTCTTTGGTCAGCACAGACTCCAAAGCCCCAACATGGGGCCTGGACATAGCTGAAAACAAAGAAACAAAAAACACCACTACTATCAAATTGATTCCAAGTTGTGTCACAGATTAGAATTGCTCTGTAGGGTTCTCCTGGCAGTAATCTTTAGAGAAGCAGTTCGCCAGGCCATCTTCTTGTGGCACCTCTGGGTAGGTTTGATCTGCCAGCCTTCAGGTTAACAGCTGATCACAAATCTTGTGGACCAACCAGGGACTTTTGCTACAAAGTAGGCACATGGTAATTTTTGTTCACTGAAAATGAAAATGGACCTCCAGCTTTTCAAAGGAACCAAACCCACAGATTTGTAAAACATGGAAAATAAAGCAAACATTCCACAGTGATGTGGAAGGGCTCAATGAGACTCTGTAACTAAAGGCACCGAAACACAGACAAAACCAAACCAAACCACTTGTCCCGGAGCTGATTCCAGCCCACGGAGAACCTAGACGCTACACAGTAGAAATGCACTCCATAGGGTTTCAATGGCCGATTTTTCAGAAGTAAATCACCAGGCCTTTCTTCCAACGCATCTCAGGGTGGATTCGAACCAGCAACCTTTCAGTCAGCAGCCAAGTATTTAACCATGTGTACCACTGAGGGGCTCCTTAAACACAAAGAACTCAAAACCAGGACTATTATTGTCAACTCGAGCAGAACTGCCCCATGGGGTTTCCAAGGCTGCAATCTTTACAGAAGCAGATCGCCACATCTTTCTCCCACAGAGCAGCTGGAAGGTTTGAACTGCCAAGCTTTCAGTTAGCGGTCAAGCACCTCACCACTGTACTACTAGGCTCCCTTCCTTAAACACACACATATTAACAAAAAAACAAACTCACTGCCATGGAGTTGGATCCAACTCATAGAGACCCCTCCTTGGGTTTCTGAGGCGGTATCTCTACAGAAGTGGATTGCTCAACCTTCCTTCCGAGGACTGGCTGGTGGGTTTGAACCGCCAGCCTTAGGCATTACACCACCAGAGCTCCTCCTTAAACACAGTAAACCAAACACACTGCTGTTGAGTCAGATTCAACTCATAGCAACCCCTTATTGGTTTTCTGAGGTGGTATCACTATGGAAGTAGATTGCTCAACCTTCCTTCTGAGGACTGGCTGGTGGGTTTGAACCACCAGCCTTCTGGTTAGCAGTCAAACGCCTTAGACACTACACCACCAGAGCTCCTTTAAACACAGCAGGCACTAAATAAATCGTAATTCTCACACTCATAATTCTTGCCCAACCTAACTCTCTGCACTCAATTTAATGACTCACATGGCCACGAAGAATAAAAACTACATTTCCCAGCCTCCCTTGCAGCCAGGCATGGCCACGTGACCAAGTTCTGGCCAATGAGATATGCTATGTACACCACGTCTTCTAGTTCATCTTCCCTCGCTGGAAAGCAGACATAACAGGGAACTGTCATGAACCGTGTGGACCCAGTACCACCATAAAGAGGGCAGAACAACAATGTAGCAGGACGCAGGGTCTACAGCACCACGCAATGGCTTTTTCAGCTCCCGAATGCTTATGCTGAACTCTTGTGTGAGGAAGAAACAGCCTTCCAGTTTACTGAAGCCACCGTTACCCTGGACCTTTGTTGCAGCAGCTGAACCTACTTTTCTTCACTGACCCTTAAGCTTCTCATCCATCCTTTAAATAGAGTTACCAGTGCCCACTTAATCACGTGTAGCTAAACAGCTAACTCTTTGAAAGAGCATAATGGTTAATGCAGACATTCTTTTCTCATTAGGCTAAACTAGTAGAGGCAGACCTCCGTTTTACTGTGCTTTGCCTTACTGCATATGACAGAAACCAAAGGTTTGTGGCAAGCATGTCAGCACCGTTTTTCCAACAGCACATGCTCACTCTGTGTCTCTGTGCCCCATTTTGGTCATTCGCGCAATATGGCAAGCTTCATGTTGCTACTGCACACTTGAGTTGTTGTTGTTGTGTGCCATCGAGTAGGACCGACTCATAGCGACCCCTCCTTGGGTTTCCGAGGCAGTATCACTACGGAAGTAGATTGCCCAACCTTCCGAGCACACTTAAGAGACTACCAAATAGTGCAAACATAACTTTTCTGTGCGTCGTGAAACAAACAAACAAAAAATGTGTGACTTGCTTTGTTGGGCTATTCACCATAGTGTAGTGGTTTGGACCCTGTGGTGTAGTAAATTACATGTTGTTGTTGTTGTTATGTGCCGTCGAGTCGACCCCGACCCATAGCAACCCCTCCTTGGGTTTCCGAGGCAGTATCACTACGGAAGTAGGATTGCCCAACCTTCCTTCCGAGGAGTGGCTGGTGGGTTTGAACTGCCAGCCTTCTGATTAGCAGTCAAGTGCCTTAGGCACTATGCTACCAGAGCGCCTAGTAAATTACATAGTGTGGGTTTTCTAAGTGAAAGTCTATAAACTCCATGGTGGAATTTGCTCTGAGTAACTGAGTAGCTGCTGATTGTTAAAGTTATCCACCTGGGGTGTATTTCGGTTGGGAGCAGCACCTAGTAATTTTCTGGGAAGTTCTGTCTCTCAGGTGTATAGAATTCTGATGTTGGGACTGGTTAGTTTGGCCACTCTGCCAGGCTCAAAGGGAGCCCTCCCGGAGGCAGAAGGAGTCTCTCACTTCCAGCTGGGAGACGCAAGAGACATGTGCTGAGAAAGAGACGCGAGAGACATGCACTGCTGGGAAAGAAACACCAAAAGATGCGATCCTGGGAGAGAGACTGTTGGCTGAGAGACAGTGGGCTGAGAGAGACTGAACATGTTCCTGAACTTGAATTGCAGCCTGTTGCTTCCCTAATAAACCCCATAATCTGTGAGTTCTGTGTGGCCACAGCAGTGAATTATCGAACCCAGCAGAGAGGTGGTGGGTGCTGTGGGAGAAATGGCTGGTGTCAGGGTTGGTGAAAGGACTGGAGGGAGGCAGCATGTCTGGCCTCGCAGGGATAAGCCTTGGGCTGCTGATGGTGATTCTGTCTTCCTCTTGTGGGGTTACAGGAGGTCAGAAGATGTGGCCTCCCTGCCCCTTTGGCAGTCCCACACCTGCTGTATCTCCAAGGTCGGCCTGTGTTTGGTTCAAGGATGACACATGAACCTACATCTTAATACGCTCCTCAACCACCCCCAGTGCTGCTTGGAATTCCCAAAGCAAGGAGAGGACGGAACTGACCTGGGGAAACGGGTCGGCTGATGCCAGTAACACGTTTTCTGGCTTCAGGTCACAGTGGACGATGTTCTTGAAGTGCAGGTGTCGCAGAGCCACCAGGATCTGAGAGGAGGAGATGGGGCCAGTGAGAAAAGTGCCTGCCCTAGATCCCACCTTCAGCAGCCAGACCCCACGCCCCATCTAAGCTCTTCTCTGCAACCCTAAAGATACCCCATGGGGGCACAGGCGGGGCCAGGAGAGCACTGGAGAATGAGAACCATTTACACTGAGATGTTAGGACTTGGATGGGAATTTCTAGAAAGGCTGAACTGCAGCAGTCGGGCTGGGAAGATCTCAGAGACCCTCTAGCACGTGACACGCTGCTGATGAAAACAAGCTATCGACAGAGTAGGGGCTTTCAGGACATGCTGCTGAGTGAGTGTATGAGTCGTATTTTTAAAAACATACTTTTAAACTTTTAAAGATCTGTAATACAAAACAACGGGAGCTCCGGTAGCCTAGTGCCTAAGGCACTTGACTACTAACCAGGAGGCTGGCGGTTCAAACCCACCAGCCACTCCTCGGAAGGAGGGTTGGTCAATCTACTTCTGTAGTGATACCGCCTAGGAGGGGTCGCTGTGAGTCGGGGCTGAATCGACCGCACATAACAACAACAACGATACAAAACAACACATATACAAATAAGATCTGAATTATATCCCGAATGTAAAGTTTTTTTTGGGGGGGAGGGAAGGGGCGCGGCAGAGGTGAGGACTCCAGGGCCAGGCTGCTCCTGTGGAAAATGTAGCTTCCACATTTCACAGCCCTCTGGGTGTCAGTTTCATTCGCACCATGGGAGCAGTACCAGTCCCCACCTCCAGGGGTCACTGTCGTGTCTCCATGAGTCCATTCCTGCAAAAGTCTGGAGCACAGTGTCTGGTGCAGTGCAAACACTGTCCGTTAGTTGTTGTTGTTCTCGGCGATGGCTGTGGTTATTATTTTTGTCATAGCCTCTGCGTGAACACATTTTCAGGCGTGTCTCAGGAAAGCTTCTCCTGCTGTATCTGCTGGAGTCCTGGGTGGTGCAAATGCCTAACACCCCTGGCTGCTAACCCCAAGGTTGAAGGTTCGAGTCCACCCAGCAAGGTCTGGGGATCACCTTCTGACCCATCAACCACTGACAACCCCGTGGAGCACAGTTCTCCTCGGACACATAGTGGGTCGTCAAGAGTTGGAATCGACTCCATGGCAACTGTTCTGGCTGCATTTATTAATTCAAGAACGTTCCACGATAGCAAGGTGAAGCTAATTAAAAAACAAAAGACACAGACAGAGAAAAAAAAAAAAAAAGGTTGCCATTTGTAACCACGTATCTATGGCAATCATGATTTTCCTTGAGTCTGTGTAATTCCAGTGAGAGATATCGAATACATTAGAAGCGGAGAGTGAGGTAAGCATGCAATTCCAATCTGGGTCTCTGAGTTTAAATGTATGTGCGTATCCTCACTCTTTTCATTGGCGAAGGTTTGTAATGATGCGTTGTGCCGGCTCCTCATTCCACAGATGGGGAGACCGAGTGCCACGGGTATGTCACCATCTCCAGAGACTCTGTTTGTTGATTTGGTCTTTTGTCCCCAGTTAACACGGTGAACCAAGGGGATGGTCTGGAGACCAGATCTACCCAGGTTCGAATCTCGGTCAGACTGCTACGTAGCTGGGTGATGTCAAGCCAGAGAGTGGGACAGCACAGTGGGTGTCAGCGGCGATACCTACCTCACAGGCTGGCTGTGAGGCCTACACAAGACCGTGAGGTAAAGGGCTTAGCACGGGGCTTGGGGCTGGGGCAACCAAGAGCTTGGACAGCAGAAATCTGCAGAGAGAGAGAGACAGAGAGAGGACAACAGAACAGGCAAACACAGAAGAGAGAGAGATCAGAAAGAGAAGCTGTTTCGAATGCTGAAGGGGATCAGCCCCTCGCTCCACTGGGTGACCCTGCCTCCATCCTGTAAGCCAGGCTGACAAAGACGGGCACACTGATTGGGAGCATGAGGATGCTGGGCCTGGGTTAAGGAAGCACAGTCCAGGGGACTTTTAAAACCAACAGAGATTTTGCAGAATAAGGTGAAGTATCAGTCAGATGGGAAAATCTTTCTTGCCAGGATACAAAACCCAGAAAGGCATGAAAGGTGTAACTTTTATACTTAACATTGTAAAAGTTAAACCCTGTGTAGCAAAAAAATCCATAAACAAAGTAAAGAAGCAAACAAATGCTGGGAAGAAAAAAAAATTGAACAACCCAATGACAGGATCTAAGGTCTTTCATATACAAAGAGCTCTTATAATTCAATAGCCAAAAGAGAATGCTCCAGTTGTAAAATGCACAAAGGGCATACAAAACAAAGGTGATTAAAAATGAAATTCCAACGGCCAATGTTGCTGTTATGTGCCGTCGAGTCAGACCCGACTCATAGCGCCCCTCCTTGGGTTTCCGAGACAGTATCACTATGGAAGTAGATTGCCCCAATCTTCCTTCCGAGGAGTGGCTGGTGGGTTTGAACCACTAGTCTTCTGGTTAGCAGTCAAGTGCCTTAGGCACTATGCTACCAGGGCTCCTCCAACGGCCAATAAGCATATGAAAATATGGCCAACCACATCCATCATTTTAAAACAGAAATAAAATCACAAGAAGGCATCATTTTCTCCAACAAGAGCTACTTTTATCAAGTGTTGGTGAGGAGTGAGAAAACAGGAACGCCCGTGCCCAACTGGTGGGAGCCAAAATCAAAAAGGATTTACAGAATAAAGGCACATCTTTGAAACATTTTAAAGCACATTTTCCCAGACTCAGGAGTCAACTGCTTTGGAATTCTCCCACCAGAGCACAATGTTTGTAGATGGATGATCACAGGATGTTGTCTGCAATGGTAGCAAAACGAAAAAGACCCACATGTCCAGCAACTGGGAATTTGGTGAAATCTACTAAAGAAGACAATTCAGAAGAAGAGGCGATCTGCTAACAGTGTATGCAAGTGGGACAGCCTCCCAGATCATTGTTAACATGAAGAAAGGAAGGGCAGAACAATAGCAGTGATAGCACACCCCTATTGGGGTCTCTGTCCCCAATCACAATGCACGCACACACACATGCACACGCACACAGAAAGCAGAAAGGCTGAGTGAAACACAAACAGGTTTAGCATTACATCTTTTCCTCATTTATCAACTATCTCATTATCTGATATTTTGCATTCACAACAGCAAAAAGGCCAACTATCTGCACATACCTCTGGCAGTAAAGACTGCCCAGGGGCAAGCAAGAGTGAATTGGCTGTGAAGGTTAAGGTTAGGTGTTAATTTGGCTGGGCCACGATTCTCAGTGGTTTGGCAGTTACGTGATGATGGGACATGGCAGTTATGTAATGATGTAATCTGGCAGTCATGTGACACGTAACTGGGCAGTTTTGTGTTGATGTGTCATTCTCCTTTTTTTGCACATAATGCAGATTTTGTATAACGACCTGGTCTTTAGAACTTAACCAAGTCAGTAGCGAGGAGGAGGAGGACTGGTTAAAAGCACTGACAGTGGGTCCAACCCCACCCGCCTTGCAACCTGGGGCAAATTACTGAGTGCCTCTTGAGTCTCAGTTTCTCCAACTGTAAAGGGGAGATACTAAGGGCACATGCCACACTGACTGCTGTGAAGATCAGTGAGTTAGAACAGTGCCTGGCACAGATGGAAGAGGTAACTACAGGGAGGAAGTGGGAAGAGAGCTGTTCCATTGTAGGGAATTGCAGTCAAAGTCATGAAACAAAATGTGTATGACCTGCTGTCTGGAAAATGAATTTGCTATGTAAACTTTGACCCAAATCACACAAAAAAATTTTTTAAATAAATAAATAAATAAATAATGCCTGGATGCTATTCATGTCCAGCAACTGGGGAATTTGCATCCAGGGGCGCTGTGAGTCAGAACTGACTCCCCTGCACAAAGTCTGGTTTAGGCTTTGCCTCAGTAAAGACTGACAGCCTTGGAAACTTTGTGGTGCAGTTCCACTCTGTCCTCTAGGGGCGCTGTGAGTCAGAATCTACTCCATGGCAGTGGGTGTGGTTAGGGCTTTGTTTCTGTAAAGATTGACAGCCTAAGAAACCCTGTGGTGCAGTTCCACGCTGTCCTCTAGGGGCGCTGTGAGTCAGAATGAACTCCCCTGCAGAGGGTTTGGTCTGGGTTCTGCTTCTATAAAGATTAACAGCCTTGGAAAGGGCAGTGCCACTCTGTCACAGGAGGCTGATGTGAGTCGGACTTGACAGCACCCACCACGACCACCAACACTGCTGTTTTTTAATTATTATGTTCCGTAGTCCCTGGGTGGTGCACACATTAATGCTCTTGGCTGTTAACCATAAAGTCGGTGGTCCGAGTCCACCCAGAAGTGTTTCAGAAGGAAGGTGTGGCAATCTACTTCTAAAAACTCAGCCACTGAAAACTTTCTGGCGCACAGGTCTGCTCTGACACACGTGGGGTTGCCCTGAGTCAGTTGGCTTGATGGCCATGGGTTTTACTGTCTTACTATTTTCTATTTGTATTATTTTTCTGTTATCATTACTCTGTTATTTTTCTGTTGTTATAATTATCACTTTATCTTTCCATTATTACTGCTAATGTTGCTGCCAGGGGAGTCCAACTCGTAGCAACCCCGCGTGACAGGGCAGAACTGCCCCATAGCGTTTTCTCAGCTGCCATCGTCATGGGAGTGGACAGCCAGGTCCTTCTCATTTGGAGCTGCTGAATGGGTTTGAACCATCAACCTTTTGATTAGCAGCTGAGTCCTTAACCATTGTGCCACCAGGGCTACAGCCTATTATTACTCTTAATGTTCATCCTACTTTTTTCTATTATTGTTATTTCTTCCATTATTGCTGTTAGTACTCTTGTTGTTTTTCCTATCAGTCTCGTGACTTGGTTGTTATTTTTTTTATCAACTGTCGATCAGATTCCCACCCAGTGTCTGCCTGCCGTTGAGGGGGTGCCTGCTGGAGGGGGAAGGGGTCGGGGACAGAGCGCCAGGGAGGAGGGAGGCAGTGGGCAGGGGCGCACCTGTGTGATGAGGAACTTGGTGAGGCGCTCAGGCAGCCGCCCCTTCTCGCTGGACAGGATCATCTCCAACATGTCCCCATGCAGTTTCTCCATCACCACAAACACCTTCTCAGGCGTCTCGAACATGCACTCCAGGTTCACGATCCCAGGATGCCGTAGGCTCTGGGGGGCAGGGTGGGTGGTGGTTAGGACCCAGGAGGCCCACAAACTCAGACCCTGAGGGCCAGCATGGGGGCAGGTGGAGGACCAACAAGGAGGGTATCCCTGGAGGCTCCTTCTCTCGGGGTGGTACTGGAGGAGGGGAAGGGGCTCCCCACAGACCACAGTCTGGGACTGACCACTCTCCCTGTGCCATGGGGGTGGCCGTCGGACTTCTGCATCAGGACATTTTTGGAGGGAGGGGAAGCCTGTAGAAGTGGAGAGGAGCCTGGTACATCTGTGTCTTTTAAACCTGTGTCCCTGTTCCTCCAGCCCTGGCCTTGCCCTGGACTAGTCTCTCCCTGGGCTCCAGGCTCAAGTCCTGCCCCTTCCATCTATACTCCAGGAGGCAGCTAGAGAGATCTTTCTAACACAAACACCTGATCTGATTCTCCTTTGCTCAAAATCCCTCTATGGCTCCCCAGCGCCCTTGGAGAAAGCCCACGTGGTCCCGCCCTACCCTTCTCCCTGTCATCTCCCATCACCTCCCTGAACTCCTAGAGAACCTCACGGTCCCTCTCACCTCCAGACCTTTGCACAGGCTGGTTCCTCTGCTCAGAACACTTTCTCCTCCCCTTTAGTCTCAACATGCATACTGCCTCCTCCAGGAAGCCTTCCCTGATTACCCTCAGGCTGGGTTGATTGCCCTGTGAAGGAAGTGGGAAGGGAGGACCCTTTCCTGGGTTAGGGCAGACCTAGGGGACAGACCCCGGTGGTCACCTGCAGAATGGCCACCTCGTTCCTGAGCTGGCTCTCCTGCTTGGTGGGAAAACGCAGTTTGTCGATGACCTTTACTGCCACGTCCCGGCCTGTCTTCCGGTGCTTTCCTGGGCAGAAGGTAGGGGAGATAGGAGATGACCTTCCTAATCCTGTAAGAAGCACCCCCAACAGCCCCCTCCTACAGAGACACAGCCAGAGTTGGGCAAAGGTGGGTCGAAGGACATCAAGGTGGCTTTGGGGGCCCCCCAGGAAATTCACAAGGAACATGGGAGCCCAGGAATTAAAGATGACACAAGGGAAGACTGAGAACCAATCAGAATCGAGGATTGACCCCTGTGGCCAATTAAGAGTACAGTATTTAACCCCCTCCCTATTAACAAGATAAGGCTCTCTGGTGGCATGGTGGTTAAGGCACTGGGCTGCTAATCAAAAGGTTAGCAGTTCGAACCCACCAGCTACTCTTTGGGAGAAACAGGAGGCAGTCTGCTTCTATGAAGATTTACAGCCTTGGAAACCCTCTGGGGGTCCCCATGAGCCAGAAATGACTCAATGGCAGTGGGTTTGGTTTGTTTTTTTTCCATTAATAACAAGAGAAAAGCATATTGGTTTTTCCAATGAGAAAAGGCGATCCTGCCACCACCTGACCAAGATCTAGCTTCTAAACCAGGTGTTGTTTTTTTTTAAATTGTGATTTGGGTGAAAGTTTACAGAGCAAATTCACTTTCCATACAGCAGTTCACACACACATTGTCTCATGACATTGACCACAATTTACCCCAATGCAACAGCTCCCCTCCCACTTCCTCCCAATAGTCACCTCTCCCCTGTGTCCATCCCTCCATGCACTCCTGCCCCCTGAGCTGTCTCCCTGTGCATACACAGCCCTTGTTTCTCCCATGATTGTTCTCTCCAAGGAGTGTATCTACCTCAGGTAAATGTTCAGCTCATATGCCTGCCTTTTGTTTGGCTGGAAGCCACAGGTGTGGGTTCAATTCCAGACCTGAAGGGCAGCTAGGGCCCATAGTCTCAGGGGTTCCACCAGGCTCTGTCAGACCAGTTAACCTGGTCCCCCTTTTTTTAAACCAGGTGGTTTGCCCGCCCAGGGTGGTTCCATGTGTCAGAGCAGAACCGTGCTCCACGGGGTTGGCAATGGCTGACTTTCTGGAAGCAGACTGCTAGCTCTTTCTTCTGAGGTGACACTGGGTGGACTCGAACCACAAACCTTTCAGCCAGCAGCCGAGTGCTCAACGGTTTGCACCACCTAGGGATGATGTCTAAGCCAATCAGAACAGGAGATGTGAGCATGTGGCCAATCAATACGAAAACTCTGGAGCTCTGAACAGCTTTTCCCGCCCCTGGGCCCTCTCTGGGTCTGCTCCTAGGAGGTCTTAGTTCCTACCTCCATAGACCACTCCAAACTGCCCGGAACCCAGCACCTCGTCTGGGAAGATCTGGTAAACCGTAGCGATGTCCTGGGGGGTGGGGACAGGAGGGTCAGGGTGCATATGGAGATAGGGGAGGGGTCGAGGAGATGGGGAGAGGTCAAGGAGATAGGGAAGGGGTCAAGGAGACTAGGGAGGGCTGGGGGAAGTTGTGTGGCATCTTGGGTCCATGGGGTGTGGGCAGGGGTCTCACCACATTCTCCTGGATCTGACTGTTGGACACAGAGATGCTCAGAGAAGCTTGTCCTGGGGAGAGGGGAGAGGCGCAGGTGAGAGGTCGGGCTCACCGTGCTCCCCCATGACTCCAGAGGCAGCCCTGGGAGCCAGACCACCCGGCTTCGCAGCTGGGTGACATAATGCGGGACTTTCAGGCCAGGGACTTATGCACTGTGAACATCAGTTTCCTCATCTGGACAGTGGGAATAATAAAAGGCCAGGGAATGATCAAATGGCCCAGACAGGGGCATCGGGAGCACTAGGTGAACTGTCGCAAGGGTTCAAGAAGTGACGTCATGTATTATTTCACTGAGTGCCTTAGCAGCAAGAGACGCATGCTGGGCCCACTGGACGGAGCAGGACCCTGGGGCTCGAGAGCCAAGTCCAAACTGACTCAGCATCCTCCCCCGAACTTGCTCCCACAACCAGCCCAAGCAACCAGAGATTTCCTAAGTGCAGACCCTTCTGCCATTTGAATGTCTCTCCCTTCTTCCCCCTCCCCGTCCCCACAGGCTGGTCCTGCCTTGACCGCCTTGCTGGTCTCCCAGCCCCTGCGCTGCTCCCTTCTTTCACTCTCCGAACGGAAGCCAGAGGGAGCTACTGAAGCACAAACCTGCTCCTCTTCTGCTCACAGTCCTGCCATGGCTCCCCAGTGCCCTTGAGAAGCAGCCCAAGTGCCTTAAGCGGCCTAACAGACATGGTCAGGCCCCTTATCGGCTCACTGCACGTTCCCACACACTGGTCTCTGTTATGTTCTCGCCAACCTCCCAGCCTTTGCACCTGCGGCTCCCTCTGTCGGGAATGCCCTTTCCCTCACTCTGGACTCGCCTCAACCATCCTCATCAATCAGTCTCAGCTCACCTGTCACCCTGGGGCCACATGAGAGGACGCTATAAAAACGTTCTATCTCCTGCTTGTCCTTTTTATAGGAAGCTCTGACTAACATCTATCACCCATGTTGGCTCGCGAGCCCCAGAGGGGAGGAAGCTGGTCCTCTCTTGATCACGCTTTGCCTCTGCCTGAAGTGGTTCTCCGTGTATTTTCCCCTCCTCACCCTCCAGCTCCCAGATCAGAGATCACCTCCTCCAGGAAGTCCTCCGGGACTCCTGTGCTGGAAGAAGACACTATCTGGCTCTCTTCAGGAAGAGGGGAGGAGAAAGGCAGGCTGGAGACAGACCTAAAATTCCAGAGAAGGAATAGGGGTGGGGCCAGGTGGGGGCGGAGATAGAGTTAGGGGAGGGGGCGGGACTAAAGGCAGAAGAGAGTTGAGGTTCAGGGGATGGGCCAGGTTGGGCTGGGCCAGGCTGGAGGCCAAATTAGAGGGAATGGAAGGGGATATGAGAGCAGGGGTAGGTGTGATGAAGCTGAGCGGAGGGGAGGGGAGGGGAGGGGACGCAGTAATGGGGCCAAAGCTGGGCACCCTGGAAGTGGGGCGAGGCAGGGCCAGGGGCAAAGAGGGCAGTAAACAGGCTGGAAGTAGACCTAACATTGGTCGGGGGTGGGGTTGTGGGTATCACAGGGGAGGCCCAGGTGGGGCAAGTTAGAGGAGGTGGGTGGGAGATAAAACAGAGGGAGGTTGGGGTTCAGGAAACGGGGCTAGGTGAAGGTGAGGCTGGGCCCACCTGAGGCGGGACCAGGCAGGGGCAGAGCTAGATTGGGGGGCGCGGGACCAAAGTTGGAAGGCGGTTGGGGTTTAAGGGATGGGGCTAGGTGGAGGCTCAGCTGGGGCGGGGCCAGGCAGGGGCGGACCTAGAGTTGGGGTGGAGCTGGCCTGAGTTCCCTGGCCCAGCTCTGCCCGCTCTGGTTGGTCACTGACTAGCACTGGTCTCTCTCTTACTGGAGTATGAGCCCTGGGGGACAAGGCCAGGGCTGTCTAGGTTACCACCCAGTCTCTACAGAGGAGGCACTCAGAAAATGTATGAATTAAAACGTGCCTCTCACCAGTGATGTATGTCAGTGGGGAAGACAGTATGGAAAAGGAGGTAACAGAAGGCCGTGACCAGAGTCACTGAAATATACATGTGACACTGTTGAACCAGTGTACGCTCTCTGTGTATACGCTCTCAACAATTTTTTAAATTAAAAAATAAATAAATAAAATAAAAATAAGTCACCACTTGAAAGACTTGGGAGAGGACAAGTGACAAGCCTACAGCCACCCAGTAGGTCAGGAGCCTAACGCAGACGTGACCCAGTTCCGCTGACTCCAGAAGCCATGTTCATCACTGGCCCTCCCAGTGCCCCCAGAAAGGACCTGGGGGTGAGACTCACTGTGGGGTGTGTGGCCTTGGGCACTGGGCACATCCTGGACGGTGATGGGCATCAGGGCCTGGCGGATGGCCATCTCCCAGCCCCGGGCTGCCTCAGCTCCTTGCCCGCTCGGCCCCCCAGGGGCCCCGCCAGGCGTCTCGCCCACAAAGTAGGTGGCATTGGCAGTGACGATTTCGAAGCAGTGTGGGTTGGTGCCCGGTGGCACGAGGCTGAAGTTCTGGGCTGGCTCCATGGCGAGGATTTCCGACAGTGGGATCTCCTGGCAGGGCACGGAGCCAACACAGGTGAGGGCACCAGGCAGACCTGGGGCTTCCACACACACACACCCTAAATCACAAGAGCAGACAGGATCCATTTGCAACGGGGAAGGGCCTGGATGGCACAGGGTGGTCAGGAAAGGTGTCCTGGCAACGTGACATTAAAGCAGAGGCCTGAGAGGTCAGAGGGCACAGTGGGATGGTAAGGAGTGGGGGGTACACCAGGTGCACCCCTGAGGTGGGGGAGGCCTGTTGTCTTCATGCCACATTGCCATCACCGGGACGTGCCCGGCACACAGTCGGAGCTCAATAAATGTCTGATGAACTCATGAAGGAAAGAAGACTAGGGCCCAGCCTTGAAGGGGCTCATGGACCACAGGGAGGGGCCTGGGCTTCCCCGAGGCCCTGGGGAGCTAAAGAAGGGTTTTAAGCAGAGGAGGGTAGGTCCCTCTGGCTGTGTGTGGAAGGTGGAAGAGAGACCAAGCGAAGTCTGGGAGGGATTGGGGGAAGAGAAAAGGCCACGCTCTAAAAAGGAGTGAAAGAAAGAAAATAGGACGAGGAAAGGGAAGAAAAAGACAGAAAAGTGAGAGAGAAGAAAGGGGGGGGAGGAAGACAAGAAGGGAGAGATGAATGGAAACTGCGGTGGTTATGTTTGTGCGTCAGCTTGGCTGGGCCTGGCTGAGTGGCTGGGCAGCTGGTGGTAGTTATTCCCCATGATGAGTCTGGCAATCAACTCCATAGTGGGCTCTACCACAAGCAGCTGAGGAGCTGCCTTTGGGCTGTGGTCTGCTTCCTGTATTTAAGGAGAAGCCTTGGGAATGGTCTCTAGCCTATGGCACGCTTGGACCCTGCATGTAGCCGTGTCGTTGCTCAGTAGCCTGCTATGTTCTGCCAACCCTGGGACTTACAATTGACTTAAGTTAATGGCCTGCTCTGTGGTTTGATAACATCAGGACTGTGCCTTTTGACTTGTCAACCTTGGGCTTCTCAGCCTCAGCAGCCAGCAGCTGAGTGAAGAAACGCCTCTAGCTGCAGTGGGCCGGGAGCAGGAGGCAGAACTGGACCCCAAGGTTGAAGGGCTTTCACCCAGCCCCTAGAGCCTGGCACTTTGCACTTGGACTTGGACTTAAAGCCTCCAAAGTTTAAGAATAAACTCCTGTGTGTTAAGGCCGTCCCATTGGTGGTATATTCCTGTCACAGCAGCACTAGGGAGCCAGAACAGGAAGAGGGAAAAGAAAGGACCGGCCGTGGAAGGGAAGGAAGGAAAGGCAGAGACAGACTGACAGCCATACATATCCCATAAAACCAGGTGCTGAGAGAGAGGTGGGGGTGGGGATTCTGTGGTTTGGGTACCCGCGGAAGAATGTGAAGGAACACTCCCCGGCCCCCCACCCCCAGCCCCAGGTAACTCAGGAACATGCTCCAGGAGCTGGAACAGAATGTGCAAAAGCCTTGAGGTGCAGGGGTGCTTGATGGGGTCAAGAAACTACTGGCTGGCAGCTGGGCTGGGACAGAGAGAACCAGGACAGGGAGAAGGTGGGGGATGAGCTCCGAGACCCAGAAGGCCTGGAGGTCTCTGCATTTTATTCTAAGGGCAGTGGGGGAGCCATTGGAGAGTTTTATGATGACTCTTCTGGCAGCCCAGTGGGAAACAAGACTGTGTGGGGTGAGGGGGTGGGCTCCAGTGGTGGCAATGGAGGTGGTAATAAACAACATTAGTAACTCAATAAAGTAACTAAAAAGAAATAATAACAATAGACTTTTAAGCACTGGATGCTCAACAGCCTGGCAGGCCCCAGGCTAATTGTGTTAAGTGAATGGTCTGAGTCCCCACCAAAGCCTTAGGGGGTGAAGAACCCTCTGGAAGCATTTTACAGGTGAGTGAGGCCCAGAGAGGTGAAGGAATTTGCTGGAGCAGGAATCAGGCCCCTGACAGGACGGCCATGGAGTGGTTTGGCTTAAGTACCTGGGGGTGAGGGGAGGGGCTGGGTAAGGAGGGAGCATGGCGTAGCCGGCACCGGAGGCTCACCTTGTAGTATCTGTTGGTCGTGTTGTTCTGGAAGAGAGTGATGCACTTGGAGTCCAGCCGCCAATAATGCCGTTTCCTCTGTTGAGAAGGTGATGGAGGATGAGGGTTGACTAAAAGTTCCTCAGGCCTGCTTGTGTCCGTGTCCAGGGGCCTGAAGGACCCTGCGAACAGCCCGCCCCTTCCCCCAAAGAAGCCCCCGCTCCTAACTCTAGCTCCGCCCACCTGGCCCCACACCCGCTGGGTCCAGCCCCATTTCTCCCTTCCGCCAATCCCTAAACCCCTGCCCTACTCTCCTTTAGTCCCGCCCCCTCCCCTAACTCCAGCTCTGCGCCACCTGGCCCCACCCCTAAATCCTCCACCTCCAACTTGCTTCAAGCTTTTCTCTCTGCACCTAGCCCTGCCCCCCACTTCTCTCTCCAGGATGCCCAGATCTGGCCCCAATACTACAACCCCTCCTCTCTTCTCCCTCCAACTTCGCATACCTGGCCCTGGTCTTAAATTTTCTTATCACCCCCTGCCATCCAGTCAATCCTGACTCATAGCGACCCTGTGGGACAGTAGTGGTGCCCCATAGGGTTTCTAAGGCTGTCAATCTTTACAGAAGCAGACTGCCACATCCTTCTTCCACGGGGCAGCTGGTGGGTTCAAACCGCCAACCTTTTGGTTAACAGCCGAATCCTTTTAACCGTCGTGCCACGAGACCCTTCGGGACCTTTAATTTGGCCTTCAGCCTGGCCCAGCCCAACCTGGCCCCAATTCCTATAACCTCAACTTTTCCTTTAGTCCCTCCTCCTCCCCTAACTCTAGCCCTGCCCCCACCTGGTCCTAACCCTCCCCTCGCCCTTAGCCTTGTCTCTTCTCCAACTCCTGCTAGTCCCACCCTTTCAACTGACCCCTCTAATTCTAGCTAGGCTTTCAGCACGGCCCCGCCCACCCTAACCACTTCCACGCCCCCAACTTGTCCAACACCTCTCAAACTAACCCCGCCCACCCCAACTCTAGCTCCGCCCCACCAGTCCCATCCCCTGGAGCCTCGCCCTCCTCTAGCTGTAGCTCCGCCCCCTCCTGGCCCCGCCCCACGCCCTCACCAGCGTGTCCTTGTTGCTGTAATGGACCATCCACCCCTCACGTAGCGTGGTGCTGGATTTCCGAGTCGTGTGGCGTACGGACTGCACCACCCTCATCAGAGGGATGTACCCCAGGGAGCTGGAGAGGGAGAGATGGGACGAGAAGTCACACGCAGAAAACTGAAAATGACCACTGGTGCTTGGAGCCGCAAGGAGCATCTCTGGGCAGCTGCAAAAGTTTGTCACACTCCCTGCCCCTCCTCCCCGGAGCTTCCAGACTTTTTCACAGTGAGAGAGGGGGCTCTTTAGGGGGGAAATTAAGACACTGGGCTCCAGAGTCACTGCCTGTCAGTTCCTTGGGGATATCTTCGATTCTCCATTGCACGGACAGGGAGACTGAGGCACAGAAAGGTGGCGGACTGCTTTAAGGTCATTCAGGTCAAGCAGAGGCCAAAATGGTTGAAAGAAAAGGATATTTTTTTTCCTTTCTTTTCAGGATTTTAGTGCTCTGTGATTAATGATAAGAGAGAAACTTAACACTTGCAGCTTTCCAGGCACTGTTCTTGGAAAAAGAAAAATACAAACTCAGTGCCATGGAGTCAGATCTGACTCATAGTGACCCCTCCTTGGGTTGCCGAGGCAGTATCACTACGGAAGTAGATTGCCCAACCTTCCTTCTGAGGAGTGGCTGGTGGGTTTGAACCACCAGCCTTCTGGTTAGCAGTCAAGTGCCTTAGGCACTATGCTACCAGAGCTCCCAACAATAATAATAACAGGCAATAATAATGAAAATTAAAAATAGAGGTATTTACCTAAAGTCAGAAACAACTTAGGAGGGCTCGCTGGAATAGAGCCCTGTATGTGCTAAGTCAGGGACTACCTGTATTTTTACTGATAAAGAAACTGAAGCTCAGAGAGGTTAGTATCTCAGGCCTGCACACCAGCCTGGTTCCACAGGCCATGTCCTTACTCTTTATACTGTCACTGTGCAATACCAGAAGCTTCTAGAAGGACCCAGAAACTGATTCTAGTGAATTTTCTCCAGGGAGACAGGCTGGACAACTGGGTAACGGGGAATGGGCGGGATTTCACTACATATCTTTGGAATGACTACGACCAGCTCCAAAAAAGACATACGACATAAATTAAAATATACTTCCATAAAAAGTCATTTAAAACATAAATTTGGAGAAAAGCCGAAATTTAAAATGTTGGTGTTTTCTGAGCACCCCCAAAATTTGCAAACCTAAAATAAAGTCAGAGGTGGGGAGGTTGAGGCTCACAGTGGGGAAAGGGTTTCCACTGAGTCATCAGAGGGGGCAGTGGTACCTCTGGGCCTTGTCTCCGTCTCCCTCCTCCTCCTCGCTGGCGTGGAGCGCATTTTCCGAGTGGGAGCCGGGAATGACTCCGGAGTCATCCGACTCATCTATGAGGGCGCTCTTGTCAGCCTCGCTGAAATCGGTGGCCTCCTCCATCGGCACGTCTACGGGGGCAGGGCCGTCACAAGGGCCTTCACCCAATCCCGTTCCTCCCTCGTTCCCTCTCAAGACCCCCAGTTCTCACCTCCATTGATGAGTGCCTCTCCCAGACAGTCATTAGGGACACGGGTGGCACAGCGTTTGTGACAGTTAAACTTGCAATCTGGTAGGAAGACAGGGAACAGGGGGACGGGTGGCAGAGGGAAGAGAGATCACTTGTAGGGGTTGAATCTTGACCCTTAACCCCAGGCTCAGAAGGGTCTGCTTTTGCTGCCGGGTCAGGAAATTCGCCTGCCTTTTCTCTGGTCACGTCCCCACCACCTTGCACTTTGAAGCACAGTTTCCCCAGAAGCGAAGGGGGAACACTAGATTCAGTCTGTGACCTTAAAGCCCCATGACTCTACGGTTCTAAAATTCTAACTAATGATGCATGTTCCTTCACTCTGGAGTCTGATCTTCTGGCATGAAATGGCTTCTATGTGCTATGATTCTAGACTCTGTCTCTAGACTGATTCTAGACTCTGCAGCAGGCTCTCTCAACCCTGGCGCTATTAACATTTTGGTCCAGATAACCCCTTCATGTTGAGAGCTGTTCTGGGCATTGCAAGATGTTTAGCATCAGCCCTAGCCTTGGCCCAGTGGAGGCCAGTAGCATCCTCCTAGTCTGACAGGCAAAAATGTCTCCAAACATTAGCAACGTCTTCTGGGGAGCAGAACTGTCCCTAGTTGAGAAACGCTGCTTTAGAATTTGATGACTAACATTCTAGGGGAGTGTATAGTGTACAGATCCTACAGCTCTAAAAAACCTCTATTTTTTGAAGGTTCTGATTCTAGACCTAGATGGCTCCCAAATTGTATGGGTTCTTTTCCTAGAACTTAACACAGCTATGATTCTAGAATCTGAAGAGCATACAATTCCGTGATTCTAGAGGTGGAAGACTCCTTAATGTCCAAGGTTTAGGATTTTATAAACCTAAAATGCAGAATTCACTGATTCTCCATTTCTATGTAATTGGATTGCCAGAAGGACAAACAAATCTGTCTTGGAGGAAGTGCAGCCAGAATGCTCCTTGGAAGCAAGAATGGTCAGACTTCATCTCACCTACTTTGGTCATGTTGTCAGAAGGGACCGTTCCCTGGAGAAGGATGTCATGCTTGGTAAGGTGGAGGGTCAATGAAAAAGAAGAAGGCCCTCAATGAGATGGATTGACACAGTGGCTGCAACAATGGGCTCAAGGATTGTGAGGGTGGCACCGGGCTGGGCAGTGTCTTCGTTCTGTTGTACATATGGTCACTATGAGTTGGAGTCAATTTGATGGCACCTAACAACAACAATTCTATGACTCTAGATTTCTCAACTCCAGAACTCAATCTTCCAAGCTTCTAGAATTCAAGAGTGGAGGTTTCCACGGCTCTTTAGTTCTAAACTTTAGCTCTGATCTTCTAAGGCTCAACAATTTGGTGATTGCAAGGAATCCATATTAGTATCTGGACCTCAGAAGGAACACTGGGCAATCTACTTCCATAGCGATACTGCCTTGAAACCCAAGGAGGGGTAGCTATGAGTCAGATCCGACTGGACGGCAGTGAGTTTCAGACTTTTGGTATTCTAGAACTTGATAATTCGAAGTTCTGGGATTAGGGATGCCAGGATTTAGAATTCAGTGGTTTGAGATTTCTATGCTTCTAGTTGTCTAAGACTTTAACTGGATGCTTCTAGGCTCCTATTCCTATACTCCTAACTTTGTTGTGCTGTGGTTGGTTGTCTGTTGCTGTGAGGCTGGAGGCTATGCCACTGGTATTTCAAGTACCGGCAGGGTCACCTATGGTGGACAGGTTTCAGATGAAGACAGACTGGGAAGAAGGATGGGGCAATCCTACTTCTGAAAAAACTGGCCACTGAAAACCTTATGAACAGCATTGATGAGTGCTTGATATACTACTGGAAAATTCATGAAGAACCCTGAAACACTGTGCACAAGGTTTGCAACGATGGGCTCAAACACGTCAGGGATTATGAGGATGGTCGAGGACCAGGCAGTGTTTCGTTCTGTGTACACAGGGTCACTATGCGTTAGACCCAACCACACGGCGCCTAAGGACAATAGGTGCCTGTAATTCTCAACTCTCATCGTTCTAAATTTCTAATGTTCTGAGATTCATTTATTCTGTAATTCTGTTTGCTGAATTGATTCCAGAGTTCTTAAATCCTATGTTTCTAAAGTTCTGATTCTAGTTTCAGAATTCCAAGCTAAGTGTCTTATGAGCCCAGAATGCAAAAGGTCTAGAGTTGGAACTTTCTAGAACTCCACGGTTCCAGTGACTGACTCCTAAGAATCTAGGATCCCAAAGGCTCCAGAAACCCACAGGCATTCCTCTTCCCAGATTCTGTCCCCCACAAGCCCTGCCACTGTCCGAAGGGTCCAAGTGGAGATTCTGACCCTGCCTGGTCTCCCGCTCTGGGCCCAGCTGACCTTTGCACTGTAGGCCCTGGCGGAAGAGACCCTTCAGGAGTTTCTTGCAGGCCTGGCAGACCGTGGGCCGCGTGTAGCTGTGGATGAGGAAGGTGTGCGGCACCTTGACCTTGGAGAGCAGCATCTTGTCCAGCTTGATGGGACGGCCGGTGTAGGATAAGGTGGAAGATGAGGAGGACGAGGGGCCACGGCGGGGCAGGAGGTCAGTGGTGCCACGGCTCTGCCCGGCGGCGAGAGTGGGAGGCACGGTCAGTGCGCTGAGCCCATGCCTGGGCCCTGCCACACACACACCACCCCGCAGCCACCCACCTGCCCCACTAGCCAGCCTCTCACCAGCTCATCGGCCAAGCAGGGCAGGGACTCAGAGGTGCCCAGGCGCACCGAATGGCCACTGGTTAGAGATGTGGATGACAGGCGCCTCTTGCGGGCGCCACTGCAGTTGTTGGGGATGCTGAAGGCACAGCGCTTGTGGTAATTCAGCCCGCAGCCTGAAGAGGGCGCCATATTGTCAAAGAAACAGCCTTCGCCCCCTCCCAGGCCCTTGCTATCTGGTCCCAGCCCTTCCATGAGACGTTACTCTGCCCCCCTTAAATCAACCAATCTCCAAGCCCCACCCCTCTCAGAGCTCTGCCCCCACTTCCGGTTTGTAGCCTCACCCCCCCACACACACACTCCTTCTTCATTGTCCCGGAAATAGTGCCCCCCCCCAGGTCCCTGCAACCCTTCCCTCCCCATCCCACCGCCTCTGACGTCTGCCCTGAAGCTCCGCCCTTGGCCCACACCGCTACACCCAGAGACTCTTGGCCATCTCCTCCTCCCTAGAGAGCCAGCCTCCCCCTCAAGTTCCCCTCCTCCCTTTCCTGAGGCCACCTGGGCCCCCGCCCCCACCTTGCCCTTCCTTTCCAGCCTCTGCTCTCCAAGAAAAACCACTTCTCCTCAGTCCCTGGTCTGCAAAAGGCCACCATGGCTCCCTCCAGGTTCTCACATCCCCCTGCCCCCACCTCATCCACTTGCCCGTCCAAGATTGACAGAAACACTCCCACATCCCTCCAGCCAGGACCCTCCACCCTTTCTTCCTCACTGTAGGTCTGGAATACAGGGGACTGCTAAGGCATTTCTTAGAATAACTGCTAATGACCCAAGAATAAAGGTTTAGGGCCACCTCACCAGACAAAGAACCAGGACCAGCTGAGCTGCTTGCTTAGGACAAAAGGAATAAAGAATGGACAGCAGAAGAAACCACAGCAGATTCCGGCTCATGGACATGCTATAGGACAGGGTGGAACTGCCCCACAGGGTTTCCATGGCTGTCAATCTTCACAGAAGCAAAGCCCAAACCACACCCACCGCCGTGGAGTCTATTCAAACTCACAGCGCCCCTAGAGGACAGAGTGGAACTGCCCCAGAGGGTCTCCAAGGCTGTCAATCTTCACAGAAGCAAAGCCCAAACCAAACCCACTGCCCAGAGTCTATTCAGACTCACAGCGCCCCTAGAGGACAGAGTGGAACTGCACCACAGGGTTTCCAAGGCTGTCAATCTTTACAGAATCAGACTGCCACATCTATCTCCCACAGAGTTGCTGAGTGAGTTTGAACTGCTCATCTTTTCAAGGCTAGTGATTTAGTAGTCAGTCCCCTGACTTACAATGAATTCAAGTTATGATGAACTATGACCGTCTGTTGTTTTTTTCTTTGCACATCTTCCAAACCAAACCAAACTCACTGCCATTGAGTCGCTTCCGACTCATAGAGACCCCCTTCGGGTTTCCAAGGCAGTAAATCTTTACAGAACTATATTGCCCAGTCTTCTTTCCATGGAGTAGCTGGTGGGTTTGCACCTCCAGCCTTCTGGTTAGCAGTCAAGTGCCTTCGTAATACACACCACATACAATGTTGTGACACATAATTTGCTGATGTTATCCATCTCAGGTGTTAACTCAGAATGTTTGATGTTAGGCTTTATAAAGATTCTGATGATAAAAGGCAGTAATAATGAATTGAGAAAAAAATTACGATGGAACCATTTTACGACAGAATCAACTTACAACAGAGCTGATTTACCACGGTGTCATCAGACCAGAATGTAAGTCAGGGGCTACTTACATTCAAGTTCCAGGATATCAGAGGAGTGAACATCACTAAGGATGTTGCCTCCTCTTCTGCAGAAAGGGTTAGATGCATCCAGTAGTGCCTTATTAGGCAGAAGTATGACCTTGTTACTCTCTTTCTTTGAAGATTAAATATGATTTCAGAGTGTGGGTGTCAAGCTGACAAGTGGTGCACTCTGACCATCAGTTTTATCTGTCAGCTTGGCAAGGCTCACGTCTCTAGTTACTGAATCCAACACACACAGAGGTGTTGCTGTGAAAGTATTTTCTGGAGGTGATTAAAGTCCATGTCAGTACACACAGTCATGTCCATCGCAGCACTATTCACAACAGCAAAGAGATGGAAACAACCTAGGTGCCCATCAACCGAGGAACAGATAAACAAACTGTGGTATATACACACAATGGAATACTATGCAACACTGAAGAATAATGCAGAATTTACCAAACAATGCGTAACATGGATGAACTTGGAGGACGTTATGCTGAATGAAGAAAGTTAATCACAGAAGGGCCAATATTGCATTAGTCCACTATTATAAAAGTTAAGGAAAGGTTTATACATGGAAGGAAACTTTCTATGTTGGTTACCAGGGGTGTGAAAGGAGGCTAAATTCTTAGATAAGTTTAAAAAAAAAAAAAAAATTATATACCAAACATTATTAATGGTTAGCGGGGGTAGGAGGGAAGGAGAAAAGAGAAGCTTTTGTTTTCGGGGCATTGAGTTTATACCAATGGTGGTAGAATATTTTGGAAAAGGATAGCAATAATTGGTGGTACAACACGAAAAATGTCATCAATGTCCCTGAGCTGTAAATGGGGACGTTGTTATGCTGGTGAACATCTTGTGTGTTTTCACCACAATAAAAGTAAAAAAAAAAAAAAAAAAAGTCCCTATCAGTTGCCTTTAAGTAAGGGGATTATCCTAGTTAATCTGGTAGGATAGAGCCAATCCACTGAAGGATTTTCAGAGTACAGCTGAGGGTTCCCACATAAAGAAATTCCACCCGTGGACAGCAGCCCAGGACCTAATGTCCTGCCCTTCTGATTTCAGTCTCACCCACAATCATGCAAGCTAATTCCTTGCAATAAATCTCTTAATATATATCTCCCAGGGTCTCTCTAGGGGTTCTTGTGGCATAGTGGTTAAAGCATGGGGCTGCAAACAAAATGGTCGGAGGTTCAAACCCATCAGCCACTCTGTGGGGGAAAGATTAGGCAGTCTACTTCCATAAAGATTTACAGCCTTAGAAACCCTATGGTGCTGTTCTACTCTGTCCTAAAGGGTGGCTAGGAATTAACTGGAAGGGAGTGGATGATTTTTTTTTTTTTTTTTTTTTTGAGTTCCTCTACTACTAGAGGGAGCTTGGGTGTCACAGTGCCTAAGGCATCTGACTGTTAACCAGAAGGCTGGCGGTTCAAACCCACCAGCCACTCCTCAGAACGAACACTGGGCAACCTACATCTATAGAGATACTGCCTCGGAAACCCAAGGAGGGGTCGCTATGAGTCGGGTCTGACTCAGTGGCACATAACAAGACGGTTTCTAATATTGCTGGTGGTGCAGTGCCTAAGGCATCTGCTAACCAAAAGGTGGGTAGTTCACCAATGCTCCACGTAAGGAAGATAGGGCAATTTACTTCCAAAAAGATTTACCACCTTGGAAACCCAATGGGTTGCAATAAACCCAATGACAGTGGGTTTGGTTTGGGTTTTCCAGCACCACCCCTTTCCCACTTCCAGATTATCTCACCCCTCCAAGCTCCACCTCCTATGCTCCGCCCACCAGCACTGCTACTTGGCCACGCCTCTAGCCACGCCCTTCCTCTCCCAAGCTCTGCCCCTGGGCTCTCACTTTTCCCTCTAGGCTCCACCTCCTATGCTCCGCCCCTGCAGTACTGAACCCCATGCTCCTCTCTCAAACTGTGCCCTACTTGTTGCTCTAAACAGCATCTCCTAAGCTCCACCTTAAAGGCCCTGGGCTCTGCCCCGGCCCCGCCCCCTATTTCCCTTGGCTCCTCACCATCACACTTGAGGCCTTGGCGCACCAAGCCGAACAGCATCTCTCCACAGTGGTCGCAGAAGGCGGGCGCTCGGTAGGAATGCACCGTGAGGGCGTGCGGGCGGATCTGGAAGTCCTCGAAGGTGGCCGAGGCTGCGGGTGGCAGGAAAGGGCAGATAGTGGGGCCGCTCCTAGTGGCCAGGCCTAGGGAGTCCCAACCCTATGGTGCCCCAGTTGCCACCTGCTACTAACAGTCAATGTTTTGTCTTAAGCCCATACTCTGTGCCAGGCACTCTTCTAGGCAGCGGGAGCACTTCTTAGAACAAGACAAACAAAATCCCTGCCTTCTGGGGGCTCACATTCTGTCCTAGCCAGCCTGACACACAAGCAAGCCTTCACTCTTTGCCAATCACTTGGCACAGATAGGTTAAGTGACTTGCCCAAGGTCACATAGCAAGCAAAAATGGCAAAACTCCAATTCAAATTCAGGCCAATCCGACTGCTTTCACACTTTCAAGCGTGAACTTTGCAGTAAGTGCTAAGGCAAAAATTTAAGCAGGTTGATGAGACAGGGAAATAGGTGGTTGGGGAAGGCCTCCTGGAGGAGGTGACAGTAAGCACAGACCAGAGGAGGGAAGAGTATGAGGCGTGCATTCTTACACCATCATAGTATCTCCCTATAGGGTTATTTTTAGGGTCAAAGAATTAATATACGGAGAATAATTAAAACAGGGCCCAACACACAGGAAGTGCTCAATAAAAGTGAGCTATTATTTTACAAGGAGCTCTGGTAGCATAGTGCCTAAAGCACTTGACTGCTAACCAGAAAGCTGGTGGTTCAAACCACCAGCCACTCCTCGGAAGGAAGATGG